TCGGCGGGTTATGTAGTCATCATTTATATCATAATATTCGTTATTTATCTTACTGACAGAACTCTGTTCTTTCTTTACATTTATGAGCACTCTTAACAATCCAAATGGTTCTTCACGTAGAATACAATCCCCTCTGGCCCCAATCAAAGCAAAATAATCATTAATCCACCACAAATCGACGTACAAATTGGATTCCGACTTATTTAAGCTTCTGTTATGGTTCGTTGCGCAATTTACGTCCGGGATGTTAAATTTTCCCAGCGTTGTTTTGTTAAATGTGGATCTAAATATTGATATTAAAATATTTTTACGAAGGTCTCACTATTATTTTATAGTGCTGTTTACAATACGGTGTACGGTGTGTATATATCAACGGGCTTGTTAATTTTTTTTAATCGTCTTGTGCTAGGGAATGAAACACACTGTGTCTTGTTTAAGATATCCATAAATTGGTCAATATATTATATTAACGAATTATTTATGGTTTTCATTTCGAAAATAGGTGTCAACATAACTATAAATACAGCTTAAAAGCAGAAAATGAACGACCAATAATGATAAACATTATTTGGTATAATTCTCGGGCATGGACGGCTTGATTGCTACCAAACAAGGTGTCTCGTCAGCAAACTAGTTTAGTTGATGAATCGTGATGACAGTTAAATTACAAAGCGAAAGCTCTCTCATCCGGGAACCATTACGTCGGCCAGTTCTCATGCTGCTCCAGTCTCCAATTGGTTATATGGATAGTTAATAAATATTATTGTGGCTAGTTCCTATTTGAGTCGAGAGCGACTACACATTTCCTTCTGATAAACGATTCTTTATTAGGCGCTCGTGCAGTCGAGCACTTTGTTGAGACAATCTTATTGATTGGCAATAAATGATTTTCCCCGATTTCAGTTACATATTTATATCTTTATATCGGTCTGTTTTGAAAGCGAGATCTCGATTAAACATTATTTATGTCTCGAGTCCATTCACTGCGAACGGTTTTATGATGGTATCGGTCATATCGCCGCGTGCCGGCGCCGGCACACGGCGGCTGCCAGTTATTGTGTTTCGAAACTAGGTACCAGTTTCTCTTCCGCTCATAAAGCATCGGTGGAATGCCGTTTGATGTGGCTATGTGGAACGTTTCTAGGTATACCTAAGTTTATTAGGGGTTGAAAGAACTTAACGGTGTTTTCATTTCCTCGGAAAAAAAAATATTCTTAATGCAAAATGCTTAAAAAGTCCACTTTGTCCCTGGTACTCTGAGATGGGACCCGAGCCCACGACCTTTCGCAATCCGGGCGACTGCTCTAACCACTGAGCTACCCAGGACCTAACAGGACTGACGAATTCTTCAAGCACTTGTTACTTTATCGCTTCTACAGATCTTATTTTCACACAAAGAGGATTTTTTCACACAAAGAATTTTTTCGAGGCAATCCACACAAAGAGGATTTTTTAAGCATTTTTTATTAAGAAGATTTTCCAGTATAGCATGTAAATGCAAGATTGATCAAATATAATAATGTATTTTATTTATATCACATTGAGCGTTGACTGTGAAGAATATGAAGAAAAACCTTTTTTTTTTTAATGCAATACACAGCACACGTGCGATAGTAACAATGTTATTACCATTTATCTTGTATGACCGTCAAGATCGACATAATACAAACAAATTATTAAAATATCGTTCCGGGACTCGCTTGAAGCGCCATCTGTTCCACAGTCGGATCGTTTCTTTAGTCTATGGCGGTGTCCTATTTTTAGACGGGGCCTAATTGTAGACAAGTTCAAGTTCAGTGGGTGAGCGGTGTACGTGTCACAGTGACCATCTGCTGTCAGTCCATCGGAGGTGTATTAACTCTTTATTTGATTCAAATTGACAGCGGCGAGACGAGGACGGATTTTATTAGAAACGCTTCCGCGTGCTTGAAATTGTTTGTTTTTTAACATCAAAGAAGTATGTCATTATTTTATAGCAATACAGTTTAATGTTAAAGATGACTATGAAGGTTTGAGGGATATTGTTGTTAAGCACCTTGAGAATTGATAATTCCTAAGAAAATAAAATAAATTGTTTTAAAGTGCGAACAAAATAAAAACCTAGCAGTATCTAGATTAAATATTTTTGTTATAAAAATACATAATATCTACAATAATTAACAAACTATATCTTATAAAGGACAAGAAGGAGCATGCATACTCAGGCCCGTCTTAAGCACAACAGGCGCCCGGGTGTAAGTAGTGCTCTGGTGTCCCCTAGCCCACTTTTTTACACATATTTATAAATTACCGAAGTCATCGATGAGTAGATACTACAATATTAGACCATCATCGACGCGGCGCCCCCCAACACGCTCCCGGGTGCACTGCACCCCCTGCACCTTGGGTAAAGACAGGCCTGTGTATACTTATCACAACACACCATCAGCTTTCCTTGTGTTTCGTCCTTGTTAGATTCCAGTTGGCAACACATTCGAAAATATGAACCAAACTAATATTAAATAATAACACAAATGGACCAAGGTATTTATTTGCCTTTCGAAAAATGTCGGATGCGATGCGATTCTGTAAAAATTCGAACCCGAATTGGAATTCACTCAGGTATCCGAATTCACGTCATAAGCGACATCCGTTCAACCTTGAAATGGTACTAAAATTTCGTGGTTATGCCATGAAGTGAGTTTCGAAATAACATAGCGAGAGAAAATCTGAGGCACATATAATCAATCAATTTTGTTTTGTATTTTTATTGCACATTGGAATCAATAGAATTTCTAGATAACGTGAATTCGGACATATGAGTGAATTTAAATTCGGGTTCAGATTTTTTTTTATAAAATCGCTTCCCAACTCTTCTTTGCAATAGTGCAAATGTATGACAAAGGTTGAAAATACAACAGATATTTGCACATTTTAAAAAGTTCTCTATTACAAACTCAATCTTTTGTTATAAAATATATTTTTATTTTTAGAACAAGAACATAACTCATAGTTCAAAAAGTTACTTAAATAAACATATTAGGTACTTGATAAATTTTATAAGAAATATAGAGGAAATTAAAAAAGGAAAATACACTAATTATCTATGAGCTGATTTTCATTTTTGACAGCAGGTGCTGTAGTGAAAAGATTTATTTTAGTAAAGAATAGTTATTTAAGATACGAGTGCGGAAAGTAAGGTTTTACGAATAAGAGCCAAATTCATTGGCACGAATTCGAAAAACCTTTTACGCTCCAGTTTCTTACAACATTTTTCAATGATTTTTTGCGAGGAAATAAAACAAAAATATAGGTTAATAAAACTAAGTATGTATAAAAGGTAAAAATTGTTTGTTAAAATTAAATGTGATATTTGAACATGTTTTCGTGTCATACATTTTTATTTGAAAATATTCGTTCTAGGCTCCTTGAAATACTTTTGCCTCTAAAGTTCGGTGCTCGGCCAAAAAAAAAATTAAAAAAGTACTTTTAAGCATGTGTACAGTAAAGGATTTCAGTAAATTTTTATTTAACACGTGTTTAAAGACTAACTTTCGGTGTTTACAATGGATTTAAAAAATAGCGCTTTATGAGCAACTGCATTGAAAAAACATTTATTAAGGAATACGACAAGATACACAGCGTCAGCAACAACCAATAATTGACAAAAGTCAAAAATAAATAAATATATCAATACATAGTATAAAACAAAGTTGCTTCCTCTGTCCCTAAATCCCTATGTATGCTTATATCTTTAAAACTACGCAACGGATTTTTAAGCGGTTTTTATTTCATAGATAGACAACTGGCGTTTCAAAACGAAGGTTTTTATGTATAATAGGTACAAGATCACGCGTGCGAAGCCGCATAAAGTTAGTAAATTATAAATAAGTATAAAAGCCTCCTTAAAGAGAGAGATTATTATATCAAAAACATGGTAAGGCTGCCGGCAACACTATATATTTTTAGTCTTTAATATCTTAACGTTCTATATTTGGAATCGATTTTATGTAACGAAAATGAAATATTATTTTCATATAATGCAATGAAAATAAATGTCTGTGAATAACAATATTAATGACGGCTGGGTAAAATTATATTTAGTCCTTCAGACAGATAATAGAAAGATATTTTGTTTCAACTTAACAAGAAATGGCTTAGATAATAGGCGTTAAAGTTTAAGAGTCAACTATATACAAAAGGTGTGACGTCAAACGACATCTCAACTCAATTTATCACCGTATTTTATTGATTACGAAAAGAAATACGTACGTCGTTTAATATTCATCGAAACAAATATAGTCATCGTCCCCTTTACCCACGCTATATAACAACAACAATACTAATAACAAACGAGATCATTAAACCCGCCTGCGTGTAAAAGAAAATAAATAAAAAATGCATGATCATACATAACATGCAGTCGGAGGCATGGAACTGGATAATAAGCCAAATCATACTCTCTCTGTGCACGGCCCCGAGTGCATGTTATGTATGATGTTGCATATATTTTTTATTTTGTTCCAGCCTTTTCAGTTAGTTGTTTTTCACGCAGGCGGGTTTTTCGTTTTTTTTAATTATAATTTTATTTATGTCTCTTTATTGAGACAAACAAACTAACCGGTTGGTTCAAAAAGTGAAAAAAAACAAAGTCCATAATATTTTTAAAACTTTCTCATTGTATTATTTTTATTAGTAGTACGGTAATGATAATCATGATATACTTTTTTGGTATCCTTGTATTGAACTTTTAATTTGATATCCATATTAGTATTTGAAAGAGAAAAAAAAAATCATTAAACATAATGGTTTCACAACCGCCATATTGGATTTTTAACGTTAACTATGTAAGAACACTCGGGCTTCTAAGACAAATCTAACGGTACATCAATTTATCTAAACCCGTTCAGCGGTTCTGAAGATATAAGGTAATAAAGAATATTACATACAAAATACGTGCGAAACACATCATCTTTCCTCTGCAGTTGAGTAAAAAAGTATAATGACATATTAATATGAAAATATATAATACTGGTCACATTTATCTAATCATTTTTCTTATCATAATCATCTTTCAGATGAACCTTTATAACTTTTATCACTTTGGACAAGAACCATAGGATCATCGCCAGTAGAAGCCAAATGTCCAGATGGTACCTTTCGATAGCTGACAGGTGGACTGCTGGTGAACGCAAATGGCGACCACCTGTAGATATAATGTACTCCACCCAATGAAGAAGCTCAGCGGGTGCAGGCTGTGGACGCAGCTTAAATATTTTGGAAGCTTCGAATGCGCTGCTCCGATAACTGTTGACAAAAAAAAATCATAAAAGCATATGTCTTCTAATACTTGACTTAAGTATCCGTATGATATAAAGCAGTTTATATTTGGACAAACTTGCTAAGAAACACTTTCACACAAAGAAAATGTCTCAATTTTTAGTTTAGAAATAGATCGCTCATGCAAAGGAAGGATAGAATTTTAAATGTCAGCCACGAGATAAAACCTGCAAGTATATTATTCTACAGAAAAGACGATAACATTACAAATGCTTTCTCGTTATGCTGTAATGCAATATGACATACAATTAAAGATTTAGAGCAAAATAAAAATAAAACTTTAATTAGTTAAAGTAAGAAAATTCAGAGTAAAATACTGAGACGTTGACTGTGATAAATTTTGTGTAAACGGACACGCCGACACGATATCATAATATAATATATTTTATAAGTTGTCGTCGCGTGGCTAATAGAGGCGGCGGCGGCGGCGGCGGCGCTGGCGCATCGAGCTAACACTAATGAACGGCGGCCTATTTCCAACGGTGGGTGTTGAAAAATTATTGACTTAGCTCTCCGGTCTGTTAGTTACCACCTCAACCGGGGGGGCCACATGTTTCATGTCTGAACCGTCGGGGATTATTTATAATGAACAGATAGAAAATGTATCGAACACGCCAGTGTAGTTGCGGCCCATACTGAAATCCTTATTATTATCCTCAACATTATGTATTTTCTTAATAGAAAAATTGATCTAATTGTCATACCATTTTTATAGACTACCTACCGTTTTTAATGTTAAAAAATTGCACCTATGGACGAAATTCCGTTTTTAACAATGAAGTGATTGACTGGAACAATAATTATATAATTTACTACCTCGTATTACGTAGTATCTCTTCAATAGCATCCCTCAATTTCCACGCGAAGTGATGTGTAAACTCCACTCTCTTAGCGAAACCGCGCGCCACCGCGAGGTCCGCATTAACAAATTGATCTCCAAGTAATGGTACTGTTACAACGGGTACTCCACACTGTATCGCATCCATCAGAGAAGTGGAACTGCCATCCGTGATGAAACTAACAGTGTTTGGGTGACCTGGATAGTAAAGTGATGTGAAATTAATTGAGGCCATAAATAAGTTGCAGTGTACGCCATTTTATTTGAACAAGTCTTGTGCAACGTAAACACATATTTGATGTGTAATTTTCTAGCGATGCTCCTGATCTGCACATAAGGCCCGTCTTACTTTGTGTTTTATAATTTCAGATCATTAGGCGACTTATTTTACAATAATGAAATATTCAAGGTACTCACATAAGATGGGTAGTGCTGGTGCATGTCTAAACAGGTGCACGTTACTGGGCCTGTGCGGTGGCTGCATGTCTAGCCGCCACAACACCTGTTGTTTCAGCTGCCCGAACATTTCCAACAGCCTGCTCCTCACGTGCGAAGGTATATCTTCACTATTCACGTTTGCACCGAGATCCATGTATATCACCCCATCTTTCACGTTATCCATAAATGATTGGAGCTTCTGTTAAACAGAGTTTTAGATGGAAGAAAATACAATACAACTTGATGTACCAATCGTAATAGTGTCTCATGATAAAAAAAATAATGCCTTATTTGATTGCTATTGTGTGTATACATCTGTATCTACGTCCGTCTGTCTATTTGTCACAACCAACGTTTAATTAGTTGTGTCTCTACTAAAAAGATTGAGTCGAAAGATACACATGTGAAACATCATATTTAGGAAGAAAGTGTTATGTAAAAAAAAAGGTCATAAATGGCTGTTTTACTGCTTCGCTAAAAACTTAGATAGTTTTTGTTTTATTTTACAAATTATTCTTTATTATTATTGGAAATGATGACGAAAAAATGAGTAATAAATGTGTTCGCAGTTCACATGAAACTTTATTGGCAGAATCTTCACGTTCTTATTGCGGGATGTTTGTTTAAGTTATTTATTCTAACCACATAATGTTTTCTTCTGCAACGCTAATACTCCGACATTTCCGCATAAAATCTCATAAACATCGAATTTCACGCTCGTATTCTGCAGGAATACAGAAATATAACAGAACTTTCCGGTAGTTATTGGCAACGGCAATATCAATCGAAAATATGGAGACGATGACGTCACTGAACTGAAGTAGGGCGGATTAGTTTTGTTTGCAGTGCCATTTGTGTAGAGTGTTCGTGGCGCCAGCTCTGGTGAATTGTGAGCAGAACCACGTGCATGCGGCGGCAAATCAAACGTTAATAATAAGAGCATTACAAGTATATTTAGCATCGTAGTGTCAGGAAGGCATCACATTAAATTCGAATGTCATACGTTTGACAGGGTTGTGTCTGGCTTCAGGTGGTGTCCTCCCACAAGCTTCGCATTCAGTGGAAGCGGTAGTGACTGTCCAAGCGGTGGGTGGGAATTGATCAGCAGCAGTGACCCATTAGTTGTCACCAGCTCGTAAGGTGGCAGCATGCGTCCACGTTCAGGGATAGCAGCCGAATATAACGATCCGTATAACGGGAGCTCCACGTAATGTGCATAGTATCTGAAGATTCAAAGGCAAAAGTTTGCTAGTAAAAATAACTGCCAGCAAAACATGTTTTTGTAGTTAATGAGGATAGGTAACTTTTCCGTATTAACAACCATAGATACAGACGGGATCAAGGGCCAAGGGTCGATGTATATCTGATGGAAGAGGCGTCGCGTCGAGTCAGTCGTGGAACATCTACTTTGCTATTTTGTCCAAATAAAGCATAGAACATAGCGCTGTTGTAAAATTAAAACTTTATTAACTTTTGAAGTAGGTTTTATTTGATTGAACCTTTGATGATATGACACCGCTGAGTTTGACGCTGTATGACAACAAATACATGATATGGTATTGCATTTAACCTTGCACAATCAACGGATTGTGTGTCACTTACTTCTGTGAAACGCTTGACAAATCTTCCGTCTTATTTGTACCGACCCAGTACCATCCTTTACCACGACAAGCCGGAGATGGAAAATTTTTGATCACTCACCCGAAGATTGTGTTTGCCTGAGTTTTCAGGTTTCGAAATCGCTGGTTGGTCGCGGTAAGCATTGTCGTATCGAGCTATGTATACTGATATTATAAAGAGGAAAGATTTGGTTGTTTGTTTGTTTGCGTTGGAAATACTCCAAAAAAACGGGAAAGATTTCAAAAAATCATTAACCTACGTGAAGCTACATCATACGCAAGTGACATACATAGACTTACGTGCGTCAAGTCGCGGGAAAACTGTTGGTGTTATAATAAAGAAATAACGTTGGTTACAACGTTTTAAATACGAACCGAGACAAAAAACCGGAATAAAACTGTTGCCAGATTTGTAGAGCCCTTTCTTTTATTGTAAATGGTATTGAGGGGGTTCGAGCGGAGTGGACCCCTGTGCTGTACGCGGGGCTCGTCGCCTCGTGGACCAACCGTTGCGCCCCCCAGCACGCGTCATGCGCCACGTACCAGATCAGAGGGCAATCGAACACGACACTAAGACTACACGGAAACAAAGTCACAATCATAAATTTAGAAACAAATGGTGAATATATATATCAGTTAAAGAATTCCAGCTTTCTAAATAGTATACAAGAAATAAGTTTGTTTTATTCAATAAGATTCAATAAGAGCACTTTAGTTCATATACATTTATTATATATCAAATATTAAACAAATATTTCTACGGTAATATGCTTCTTATGGCCTCATCAATAATAATATCGTTCTATGTGTAGTATGTAGACATAACAGAAATATTGGCAATGTTGCTATGAGAGGATAAATAAGGATGGATAAAGTCACGGAAATAGGCGGTTCTCTAACTGTGATCTCCAACTGTTATAAGGACCTACTCAACAGACCGTCTCAAGAGGTATCAAGTTCCGAAACTTACAATAGGGAGATATGTGTGATACGATATACTGGATAAATATGTTTTTCTTGATTCCGTGGAATCATATATCTATCTGAACACCTATATCTGCTTAAGTATATTGTTAGATGTAGTTTGATATCTGGAATAACATATCTTTCAACAAACTGTCTTATTATAAACAACTGGCCACGTCCAACAAAGTAAATAACTTTACATGAATATTTTAGAGCCGAATTAATTTGGGAACGCTGATGTTGTAGGCCTTAGATTTTAAACTTTTATTTGACCTCGAAAACCAATGTACTGATGGTTTTAATTATAAACGGCGAGGTGTTATTAATTACTTAGCGGGTGATCTTGATTCATTAAATAATTTGATTATAACTGAAACCGAAATGCTTACTTTGCTTTGCCCCATTAAAGCGAAAAACTAGGTAGAATATAAATTAGCATTAGCACTTTTTTTATTAAAATTACTAACGTTCTTGGTGAGTAATATGACCTAAATGAATCATATATGTGAACATTCTTAATCTATTTACCATAATATTTAAACCACTGAATAATTATAAAAAGCAACAAATAATTTATTGCTTACTTAAATAATAATATACTTCTAAGACTAATTTAGAAATGTGGAATATATAAAGCTCGAGCAATTGGTTATACTTACGGCGACAGCAGAGTGTTATGGTACCAGTGGGCTATTACCACGTCAATTGATGCCTCTTGGTGTAACATGAGCTCCTGCATGGCCTGGTGCTGCAGCACATGTTGGGATGACTTGACTCCTAGTTGTAAGGTCTGACGAAGGCTGACAGTTTTCAGCGGTAGTGTGTGCAGATCCGGTTTGTATAAATCTAGCAAAACCATAGTAAACTATAAATGAACTATAAGTTAGTGAATCTAAAATTATAAACGTTACATAAATAAGCAATAAAAAATACTAAACACATTAGGATGTTACTAAAATCTTTACTAAACATTTCAATTTTGATAATTGTGACAGTGATTGTTTGTAAATTAAAAGCAAGTTTTCAATAGATCAAACAGCTTCACCTACACGAAGCTCGTGGGTGTGATGCAGACTCTATCGGACTTTTGTTGTGAGTTTTAAAACTCCATTTTCCGGGGTGATTGCATCAGACAGATATAATCAAGGTTGTCATTAACTAGGAAACGTATATTATTTGTATTAAACGTCGGTTCTGATGTTACCTTAAATGTGTCGCGATCTAAAGAATCTTAGTTAGAAGCTGCTAATAAATGAGTAAGATAGTGCGCGGAAATTATACTATACTGGTATCCTGAAATGGGATCAAATCTTATGATACCTTCCTGGGACTGGTGAATTTTGAAACATCGGAATGCAAAATTGTATTATTTTTTAAATAAGTTTTAATTGAAAGTCGAATTTAATTGAATTTATTTTTGCCACATGTGATACATAAGTAATATTTAGCAAATTATTCAGTTATATTTTAATAAGAATAAGGATATAAATCGTTTTTGTAAATCGCAATGAATAGATATACTTATCGAACAATAAATTTATTTCAATTGTATCTGCTACAATTATACAGCACCAAGTTTGTGCCTTAAATATAAAACAAATACAATTACGTGGCAGCCCTCTTTTAAAAATTCATTTCCTTTGCATAAAACTTGAAGACGAGCAATTTCCGTACGAGAAACAGGCAATTTAATATTATCACAACTTAACTATAAGTAACAAATTTGTAAACTGTAACATTAAAAAATCACATTTTACAATGATAACAAAACAATTGACTATTATTTACTCAATTTTTAATTATTTAGTGGTAGGTAGAATGATAAAAAATACTTTATTTGAATAAAGAGTATTATTGGCAATAAAAGTACTTTTTTCTCTGAAAATTAGGTTAATATTTTAATATATTTATTATTTGTATTTATACAACTTACTTGCGTTATCTTCTACAATAGAGCTTATGTCTATGTAAGTAAGATTTTCTCTTGCATAATTTTTAGGGAACGGCGTTACGTAAGTCACCTGTAAAGGAAGGTTAGTATTATTAACTCTATGAATAATAAAACGATAGCACAAATTTACTTACAGCCTGAGTAATATGACCCCGAAGTGTACTACTATTACTTACTTAATATATATTGGTCACTAAATATAAGTTTATCTTACTTTATATGAACACTCAAGACGGTTCTTTTTTTTAAGTTTATTTACATTGCATTATACATGCATGATATGTTTTTTCTTTAGTTCATTACCTTAATGCTTTGACTCTACTCGAGTGTAAAATCTTATATTCGTTCGATTATTTTTTCCAATCCCTACCCCTTTAATGTTAATAAAAAGACTGAAACAGATAGAAATCGGTTTTAATCGCGGATGCAGTAAAGTTTTCTGCGTTTCAATCAGCCGCTAGGAAGTTAGACGAGTATTAATAATATTAACATTATTAACCACTGCCTTCCCTAAACTCTACAGTGATTTTAAGGTATATGTATAAGTTTGTTACATAATTCATTTCTTTTGTGAATCAATTTCTTTTATTTCTGTCAACTAATTAATGAATTTATTTTCACAACACTCTGTAATTAATAAATTGTAACCACTCGATACCTATATTATCGACTGTTTCGTCATAGACTAGAGCAAGATGTTTACAAAACATCAAACAATATAAAATATATGTGCTATAATCTCTAATTATTCTATTAGGTACCGCTCCAGCTCCGTTCACTCAATGATTGGCGGAAATCTCACAATATTTATTTACAAACATAATTAAAACTTAATTTATTAATAGAAATTAATTCAATTCAATTTATCAATACGAATGGCAGCCACTGTCGTTTAATATGCATAATTATTTCACTTCTAAATTAGTTTTGTAGTCTATTGTTTATTTTATGAATAATTACAATAAATAAATATAGTTGTGATAGCCATTGTCGTTAATATATTAATATTGATGCAGCGTCATTGCATATGCATTAATTAATTAATTTATTAACGGGGAATGCGACTCGTTAATAAAATAAATGTAAAATGTTTTATAAATAACTCTCCATTAGAATTAAGTTTACGTTTCATGAATAATGTAGCGGCCGCCGGTTTGTGGTGTGTGGGGGATTGCTGAGTTCATAGATGATTTTGATTCATTGTTGTTTGTTTGAATTAGTTAATTGCGTTTTATCGTAAAGTTATAGTTGAAACCCCTCAGATATTCTCTATCGTATAATAGGGATGACGATTGGGTAAAAAAAATGCAATTCTATTTAGTCCGTCAGTCAGATAATAGAAAAATATTAGATACGTATTTTTTTTTACTTCAATTTAACATGAAATAGCTTAGATAACAGGCATTAAAGTTGAGGAGTGGGGGCTCGTTACGTCACAGTTGAGTAGAAAACGTACCCTAACGTGACGTCATGCGAAATTTCAACTCCACGTAACGCCGTAATTTTATGATTACGAAAAAAATAAAAAAATACGTGTTTAATATTTTTTAACAAACAAACAAACAAAAATTAGTCGTCCCTATTTAACTGTCGTTACAGCAGAACTATCGTCACATCTGGCGTGGCGCAGTGCTCGATGTTGGGGCAATTGCTCTGTCTTATCTTTATTAACGACAAATACCAATGCTTTAAGAATAGTAATTTTCGTTTATATGCAGACGATTTAGATGTTTTTTTAAAGGATCCATTGTATTAATGATTGTTGAAGTCTCCGAAGCGAGGATCGGATAAATACTATATATTAAAGAAATTATATTTGAGCACGGAAAAATGCATTTCGATTACATTCTTGGTCAGAAAATACTTGAAAAAAAAATAATAGTATACCTACTATGACACTCTGAGATTATCATATTTCACACGTAGTAAGTAAGGCATATCAAATTTATGGATTCATTATACTTATAGACGGTAAATTTAAACAATCTGCAACATACACTTGCTTAAATCCCAGTAAGAATATGCTACAACAATCCGTTAGTAAACATGTCAACTTAATAGAATCGGTGCAGCGCAAATTCTTGAAATGTATTAATAAAAGATGTCGTTTACCGAAATATTGTTTTACACAGCTTTTACAGAAACAGTCACTACATAGTTTGGAGCAACGTAACACAATGTTGAGTATAATGACATTATACAATGATTTCATAAAAAAATATATATTAATTAGTAAATTGCCGTGTAGTACCGGTATAGAATTGTACTACCCCTTTTCATCCCGTGGGTGTCGTAAGAGGCGACTAAGGGAAATTTAACCCAAGGAGATGGGCAGCAGCGTCTTCTTGTGTAGGCCACAGAACTGGACCATACTGCGATCGCCAACCCGCTTGCCCAGCGTGGCGATTATGGGCATATCCCCCAAATGCAAAGGCACAAAAGGCCACGGCCCCTAGTTCCCGGCGGCCTCGCTATTCCTGGTCATGGTGGCGACCATGGTAACGGCGAGGCAGGGGGTGCTAAGAATCTCCGGGCTACGGGAGGCCACCACAACCGACTGACCCTGGCGACGTACAACGGACGCACGCTACGGCTTGACTCGCATCTGGCTCAACTTGAGGTGGAGCTTGAGAAGATTAGGTGGCACATACTGGGATTGTGTGAAGTCCGAAGAGAGGGGGAGGATACCATAACCCTCGAATCAGGCCACCTAATGTACTTCCGCGAGGGAGACCAACAATCCCAAGGTGGCGTTGGGTTTCTTGTCAATAAGTCCCTTTCTGACAACGTTGTAGAAATTTCCAGTGTGTCGAACAGGGTGGCGTACCTGATTGTAAAGCTCACTGAGAGGTATAGCCTCAAGGTTGTTCAAGTGTACGCACCGACCTCGACACACTCGGACGATGAAGTGGAGAATATGTACGATGATATATCGAGGGCACTCCACTTCACTACTAAGACCCACTACAGCGTTGTTATGGGGGACTTTAACGCTAAAGTGGGAGTACAAAATTGCGGCGAATCGGTAGTAGGATCCCATGGATTTGGAAGCAGGAATGATAGGGGGCAAATGCTCGTTAACTTCCTCGAACGGGAGGGGCTCTTCCTTATGAACTCATTCTTTAAGAAACAGCCCCAAAGGAAGTGGACGTGGCAAAGCCCCGACAATGTGATAAAAAATGAGATCGACTTCATTATAACGGACAAAAAGCACGTATTCAGAGATGTCTCCGTGATCAATAGGTTTAACACCGGCAGCGATCACCGACTTGTCCGAGGCTCTCTGAATATCGACTTCAAAGCTGAACGTGTCCGCTTGATGAAGGCCAGGCTCCGACCTACTCCTCTCCAAACCATGATGGAATCTGAAACGTTTCAGTCAAATCTTGAGAACCAATTCGCTGCCATGGAAACCACAATTGACGTTGACAAGAACCTTGAAAATGTGGTTCGAATACTCAGGGAAGAAGGTACGAAATTTTGTAGCATGCAGCGTAAGGGCGGGAAGTCTAAGCTCTCCGATAGAACTTTAGGACTAATGAAGGAACGACGTGAAAACCCACCTGTCACTTCGTCAGGAAAACGTGCTCAAAACCAGGAGATCAGCAAACGCGTACGATATGACCTCCGGTGCTCCAACACTCACGCTATAGAAAGAGCGATCGAGCAAAACAGGGGGTCAAAAGTATTCGTACAATCTCTTGGAAGAAGCCACTTGACGAAGTTGACCACAGCAAGCGGGGAAGTCGTTGCTTCGAAGCCAGCGGTCCTCTCGGAGGTGGAAAATTTCTATGCCCGATTATACGCTTCGCATGCATCTCGACCTGATCCCGAAAATGAGGATTCTAGAGCCACATTAACACGCCACTACACCGAAGATCTGCCAGAAGTCAGCATTGGCGAAATCGAGATCGCTCTGAGACAGCTTAAAAATGGAAAAGCCCCTGGAGAGGATGGCATTACAACTGAATTATTAAAAGCAGGAGGTAAACCGGTACTGAAGGAGCTCCAAAAGCTTTTTAATGCTGTCCTCTTCGAAGGGAGAACTCCGCAGGCGTGGAGTAGGAGTGTAGTCGTCCTGTTCTTCAAAAAGGGAGACAAAACCCTGCTGAAGAACTATCGACCCATTTCCCTTCTAAGCCACGTCTATAAGCTGTTTTCTAGAGTAGTCACGAACCGTCTTGCGCAAAGACTTGACGAATTCCAACCACCGGAGCAGGCTGGGTTTCGGAGTGGATACGGCACCATAGACCACATCCACACAGTGCGGCAGATTATACAGAAGACTGAAGAGTATAATCAGCCCCTGTGTCTAGCATTTGTGGACTATGAGAAGGCCTTTGACTCGATTGAGATCTGGTCCGTTCTGGAGTCCCTGCAGCGATGCCAAGTCGATTGGCGATACATCCAAGTGATAAGATGTATTTATGAGGCCGCCACCATGACCGTCCAAGTACAGAATCAGCAAACAAGTCCTATACCGTTGCATCGAGGAGTGAGACAAGGAGACGTTATGTCTCCGAAATTGTTTACTAATGCAATGGAGGATATGTTTAAGACGCTGAACTGGAAAGGACGTGGCATCAACATCAATGGCGAGTACATCTCTCACTTGAGATTTGCTGACGACATCGTCATCATGGCAGAAAATCTGCAGGACCTACAACAGATGCTGAATGACCTGGCTGACTCTTCTATGCGCATCGGCCTACGGATGAACTTGGATAAAACCAAGGTCATGTTCAACGAACACGTACTACCGGAACCGATTGCAGTATGCGGTGCCGTTCTCGGAATTGTTCAAAAATATGTATACCTCGGGCAAACATTGCAGTTAGGTAGAAACAACTTCGAGAGCGAGGTAAATGGAAGAGTTCGGCTAGGTTGGGCAGCGTTTGGGAAACTACGCAGTGTATTCTCCGAACATCTACCGCAGTGTCTCAAGACAAAAGTCTTTAATTCGTGCGTGTTGCCAGTGATGACATACGGTGCTGAGACGTGGCCGCTTACGATGGGCCTCATAAGGAAGCTCAAGGTCGCTCAGAGGGCAATGGAAAGGGCTATGCTCGG